AAGAGGAGGAGATGCTGGATGACAGGATTTTATTTGAATAAGAAATTGTATAATATATATATATATATATATATATATATATATATATACACATGTATATATACACACAAACAAAAAAAACTAAAAAGAAATAAACCAGCTTAACGTCACAGCTTTTATATATTATATATATATATAAACTGTGACGTAGTTAATCTGGTTTATTTCTTTTTGTTTTTATTTTGTTTTTTTGTTTTTGGCTAGTAGAAGTTCTTATGGAAGCCCTGAATCGCAACGTAAGAAAAAAAAAAAAGTGTAAAAAAAAAAATCTAACATTTCCAGATTAAAGTCGAAACATTTCCAGATTAAAGTCGAAACATTTCCAGATTAAAGTCGAAACATTTCCAGATTAAAGTCGAAACATTTCCAGATTAAAGTCGAAACATTACGAGATTAAAGTCGAAATATTTCCAGATTAAAGTCGAAACATTACGAGATTAAAGTCGAAATATTTCCAGATTAAAGTCGAAACATTTCCAGATTAAAGTCGAAACATTACGAGATTAAAGTCGAAACATTACGAGATTAAAGTCGAAACATTACGAGATTAAAGTCGAAATATTTCCAGATTAAAGTCGAAACATTACGAGATTAAAGTCGAAACATTACGAGATTAAAGTCGAAATATTTCCAGATTAAAGTCGAAACATTTCCAGATTAAAGTCGAAACATTACGAGATTAAAGTCGAAATATTTCCAGATTAAAGTCGAAACATTACGAGATTAAAGTCGAAATATTTCCAGATTAAAGTCGAAACATTTCCAGATTAAAGTCGAAACATTACGAGATTAAAGTCGAAACATTACGAGATTAAAGTCGAAACATTTCCAGATTAAAGTCGAAACATTTCCAGATTAAAGTCGAAACATTTCCAGATTAAAGTCGAAACATTTCCAGATTAAAGTCGAAACATTACGAGATTAAAGTCGAAATATTTCCAGATTAAAGTCGAAACATTTCCAGATTAAAGTCGAAACATTACGAGATTAAAGTCGAAATATTTCCAGATTAAAGTCGAAACATTTCCAGATTAAAGTCGAAACATTACGAGATTAAAGTCGAAATATTTCCAGATTAAAGTCGAAACATTTCCAGATTAAAGTCGAAACATTTCCAGATTAAAGTCGAAATATTTCGACTTTAATCTCGAAATGTTAGAATTTATTTTCCCGATATATATTTATGTATTTTTTTTTTTACGTTGTGGTTCAGGGCTTCCGTAAGTTCTGCATGGCCGGTAACTTAAACATTTTGTAGCCGAATTGGCCGTTCGAATCGAAAGTTAAGTTCCAGCCCTGGATATAGCCATGTGATCAGGGAGTGAGATCACAGAGGATGATGCGTGTCTGTTGCCCACAGGATGAAGAAGCTGAAGGAGGAGATGGAGGGAGTGGTGAAGGAGCTGGCGGAGAACAACCTGTTCCTGGAGAGGTGAAGCTTCCTCACACACACACACACACACACACACACACACACACACACACACACACACACACGAACACACTCTACACACACACACACACACACACTCACTCACTCACTCACTCACTCACTCACTCACTCAACACACACACACACGCACACTCACTCACTCTACACACACACACACACACACACACACACACACACACACACACACACTCACTCACTCACTCACTCACTCACTCACTCACTCACTCACTCACTCACTCACTCACTCTCACACACACACACACACACGAACACACTCTACACACACACACACACACACTCACTCACTCACTCACTCACTCACTCACTCACTCACTCACTCTACACACACACACACACACACACACACACACACTCACTCACTCACTCACTCTACACACACACACACACACGTGACGGTATTTGGCCTTAAAAGATTGAGTTCGGGCACCAGGGGTAAAAACCACCACAATTATTTACCTAATCCTTCATTAGAAACATTACACATAGAGATGACAATTATTTATGAAGCAACAGAACAAGGAACCACAAGAAAGTTGATTCAAGAGTTTTCTATTCAAGTTCAACTCCAGTCATATTACATTACAATTCAGTACATCAATACATTTAATTTCAGGCCCAGAAACATTTACCTTTTAATTACCTCACAACAATAAATGAATGACAGATAAATCACACACACACACACACACACACACACACACACACACACACACACACACTCTCTCTCTCTACACACTCACACTCTACACACTCACTCACTCACTCACTCTACACACACACACTGATCTCCTGTGTTTCAGGTTCGGCTCGCTGACGGTGGACGGCGCCATCAGGAACGTGGACCGGATCTGACCGGATCTGACCGGATCTAACCGGATCTCAGCTCTCTCTGTTGTACATATGAATAGAGTGTAAATACACATGCTGAAACTCTTCTTTATCACTTTAATCTGGTGTTAACCCTCAAACTAGTTGTTATTAAGCACGAATAAGTGCTTTTACTTTCTATTCTTATCATGAAAATGAGACATAAACACCTGTGCGGTTCGTGAACGCTCGTGTTCGTCAGACAGTGAACAAACGTTCGGCTGACATCATGGGAACGTTACTATCGAACCTTCAGAAACGAGTTCAAACATTTATAAACGTTTCAGAAAAAATGTATAAATAATGTTTTTGTGCTAACGTTCTGGGAACATTATTAAAGCCCAGATATCTCTGGGCGAACGTTAGTTCACGAGAGAACGTTCCTGTTCAACGACTAACGTTTCACTGAGACTCTGACTGTTTTCCATCAGTGTAAATGAAAACTATTTATAGACTTTAATGTTGTTTTCTGTAAATGAGGATTAAAAAAGAGGGAACCTTCATCTGTTTCTGTACTGCTTGAAATGATCAAACTCACTCGACACACACACAATGAGCTGAAAGTGAATGATTGACAGCTCAAAATCCTCTGAGCGCTGGGGTCAAAGGTCAACAGAACTTAGAGCATCTTCAAATGAACGTGGTTTTCTCTCGGTTGTGTGTGACTGGAATTAGAAATCTCTCTCTGATGGTACCGCTGTTAGTCGCCATGACAACAGACACAAAAGAACAGCCTCTCCTCAGCAGCTGTTGCCATGGCAACACCCTGAGACAACAGCATCAGCTCCGATGTAACAAACACTTGACAGATTCATTACATCCGCTCAGATCATGACACTTGCTGAAGAACAAACCCTGCAGGTCACGTGACACACTGCATCACTGACGTCACCAGCCGTCCGCACAATGACAGATGTTGGCTTTATAAACGCGCTAAATAATGTGTTCCTGAAAACGTAATGCTTGTATTAGGGTTAAAAACTAATGTATATGTAAATATCATTGGCTCAATACGAAAACAAAACAACAAATCAGTGTTTTATAAACCCCACCGTGATTTGTGGCTCTTACATGAATAATTCATGAGCACAATCAAAACTGCCACGTCACAGATTTACATACTCGGGTCTGATCTGAGTGCGCGCGCGCGTGTACGTGCTCGATGGATGATGCTGAGATCGATTGATTTGTAAAGCGGAGGACATGTATGAGGAGAAGCGATGGAGGAAATAAACGACTCGAGAAGGAGAAGAAGGAGGAGAAGAAACGCTTGATGCGAGGACGCTGAGGTGAGTCTGAGGAAAACAACACGACGCGCCTCACGCGAGCGTTACTCGCGCGTCATATTCATAAACATCCACGAGCAGCTGCAGATCTCATAATATACTGTTGCTGCATGTGTTATCCGCCGTAAACGAGCGTTTGTGCTGATGCGGAATCATAACAGGCCCTCTTATGGAAATATATACGACGATTAATGAATCTTTTCATTTTTTTAATAGTCCCTTTTTAACCCTCTGGAAACTGTTCGCGTGTCGGTCAAAAAATAGCGTTTTTTATTTCAATGAAATGATTATACTGTGCTTTTAGTTCGATGATATGTTGTATTTAATATTTTGTATTTTCAGGGGGATTTTATGGTACTAAAATTATATTTATGCTGTACTTTTTGAGCATATACCTTGAGAATGAAAATGAAATTTTCAATTAAAACAGTCAGAAATCTTTAATGCCTTGGGAGTTTGGACACTTGGCAGATCATTGCTGAAATGAAAACAGTAAAAAATAAAGTTAACTTGAAAAAAGTAATACAATTTTACATTTGTTATGTTATGAAAAATGCACAAAAATACAATTTTAAATGTTTTATATGAAATATATATTTTACAAAACACGTTTTACTCTAAAACGGTGAGAAAATCAAAGACATAAAGCTGTGTTCCAACACTTGTTTCAACCCATGTTTGGGTAAAATATGGACAAACCCAACCATTGGTTCAAATTACATTGTAAACCCAACGGTTGGGTTTGTCCATATTTTACCCAAACGTGGGTTGAAACAACCCAGCATTTTTTTGAGTGAAATGTGAGGTTGATATATCAATAAATGAGCTTTCGGTGTGATTTTGTTTTGCCGCAGTACCAGCGCTTTTCAGGATCATTTCACTTGATTCATGTCCATGATTGTGTGTGTGTGTGTGTTCAAACACGTAAAGTGAGATCTATAAATGTTGTTTATCTTCATCATACTCTTCAGAAACCCTGTGGGATCAGATGTGTTGTTGATGAATTACAGCGTCACCAGAGTAAACTACGCTGAGATCAGCACACACACACACACACACACACACACACACACACACACACACACACACACACACACACACACACACACAGGTAATGAGCGTCTCTCGAGGAACATCTTCAGTCTCGGATGGCTCATGGCTGTAATAGAATAGAAGCTCTCTGGATGATTTGCTTCCGGCACACAACGCTTTAAATCTCTGATAAACATTTAATAAGGTTAGTCTTCTCTAAAAAAAAGTTAATGTTTCTTCTGACAATATTAATAACTCAGTATTTGATATATCAGTGATCGTGTTATATCGCTCTAGAACAGGGGTCTCCAACCTTTTTTCATTTGAGAGCTACTTTTTAAAAATGAAAGTGGCCGAGAGCTACTCATGTAATACAATACTTAAATCTCTGAAATAATGTCTCATAACTCGCATATTAACAACTATCTAAACTGTTTTATACCTAAAAGGGTTTTTGTATGCCTATGTCACCCTTAAATGTCAGAGAAAAGAACAGAATCAGAGATTATTTTTTTTATAGAAAATTGTACTTTGCATATTATATTGTAAAAACACATAATTATAGTTGATTTTATAGTTCATCATGACTAGATATGAAATGGCATGATAATTTAATTTCATTAGTGACCAAAATGATCACGGTAATCACAGAATCCTGTTCAAAAAGTACTAATACTACACAATGAAATCAATTCACTAAGTTGTATGTCGAAAACCAGCAAATAACAAATAAATCCGCATCAATATGCACTTTTTGTTTACAGAAACATTAAAATAATAACATTAAAAATTATGGCTAGATTTTAAAGGAGTGTCTTGCAACATGTTATCTAGCCTACTGTACAAGTATGTACAAGTTCAAATAAAGTTTTGACAAAAAATGTTTTATAAAAATATAAACCTCACATATTTCAGCCTTTAAATCATTTTTATAAAAAGAATGAGCCAAAAAAGATAAATTACTGACTTTTACAATGCACATTAGCTTATCTTTTATTATTAAGAGTAAAATTCGATCTGATTTTCCCGTGGCGTCTGTCGTTGCTATGCAACCATGCACTGCGCTCTCCACAATGACAAAGAAGTTTTAGTAGCTAATAGATTTCCACCACCGAAAAACACTTGCTGTAGCTCTGCTACAAGATTTATTTACGGAGAAGAGAAAAACACCCGTAGTGTTTGGGTGCACCCCCATCCTTCATGTTGACTGAGCTTTCAATGTTGTTATGGAAAGGGTGAAGCTGATTGGTTGACCTGCGGTACGTTTGCGGCATACTGAATAGTTGCATTTTTTTCATCTCGCTGCACCTGGAAAAAAATAGCGCGTCGCTTTAATTATGAGCGCGCTTGCCTCGCACCTACATTTGAAATAACGAACTTGAGGACGCAAAAGACTCGATATGTGAACGGCTCCTTGACGAGCAACCTCCAATCAGGCCACGAGCTAACGTTACTGGTAGCTCGCGAGCGACGTTTGGACCCCTGAACTAGAGTAAGTCAGAGTTCACCTAAACTTATCTAAACTCATGTATAATGAACAGAAGATATTGTCATTTTTAAATATAAATATATAAATATATGCTATATAAATGCAACAGGTGTGATTGAAAAAGAATATCAACAGAATACAATTACATTTCAGACGCAGCTCACTACTGAGTTGTGCTATTTTTAGACCAGGCCTGCGGGCGACTCATGTGGTCCCTGGCAGTGTTGGGCAGTAACGCGTTACTAGTAACGCGTTACAGTAACGCAGTTACTTTTGACAGTAACTAATACTGTAACGCATTACTTTTTAAATAAATTAACTCCGTTACCGTTACCATATGGCGCGTTAGTCCGTTACTTTTTTAAATTAATTAGTTGCTGGAGCGGCTGAGAAGTGTGCGCTGTCATTACACAGTACGAGAGCACTGAAGAGACTGCTAGCATTATACAGAGCGAGAGGACACCGGAGGACACATAACAAACTCACTGGCTGAGTTGTTTACGTACACATGAGGCAGCGCGAGCACGGAGATTACAATCTGCACGGAGAGCGCTGAGCACTTGATGCGCATTTAAAACACAGACAGCGAAACGGTATGAATACAGAACACTTAAGTACACATTGCCATATCATTGTAAAGTAATTAATTTTTTGACTAGAGCTGCATCAGCACATTCAGCAGAGAAAGAACAGAAGCTTGCCGTCGAGTCTGAGAGGAATAACATTAGTAACGGCTAACTTACCTCAAGCGATTAAAGCAATGTGACAAAAACACACGCAGACCTGACCCACATGTTTTTAATGTCGCAATTGTTACCATCTATTTGCATTAGTTTATATCCAGCTGGTCACTTTTATGCATTCATTAGCCGGCGAAGTTGTATTTTAAAAACTAGTGACGTGATTGATTGCTTACATTGATATGTTCATGCAGCCGACATCAAGTCTAATCAAGTGTTCTAAAATTTAAGCAAATAAAGTGAAAGACTGTAATATAGGTCTACATTTATGTAATTTTAATGCTCTGGCCTTTGCAGATATTTAAATATGGCCATCTTCTTTAAGCTTGAATCATATAAATGTCACTTTACAATAAGATTACAATTTTAGCATTAAATATGGTTAATAAATGTTGTAGAAGTATCATTCATTGTTAGATGTATTTGTATCTCCTTAGTTAATGTAGGCCTACTATGAATTAACAAGAATGATCAAGGTACAATTGTATTGCTCAAAATCAAATATTAATTCATGCAGTAAAAACCACAGTGGTAAAAACGTATACTGTCAGCTGCATGAAAATATCAATGTTGAGAAAGCAAACAAGTCACTAGCTTTAAAAATGCTTGTTTTGTTATTTATTTCAGAAATCCTTGATATATTCAGTTTGTGCTGGTCTGACTTAAATAAAATAGTGTTTAAAAATTACTTTCTGTTTAAGTCAGTTTTGTGTTTGTATAGACCATAACGCATAAAAGGGCATTAATGGGAACATTTAAGAACTTTCTTTAAAAAAGTAACTAAAAAGTTACTTTTAACAGTAACGCATTACTTTTTGGTGTAAGTAATCAACAAAGTAATTGAGTTACTTTTTGAATGAAGTAACTAGTAACTGTAACTAGTTACTATTTCTTAGTAACTAGCACAACACTGGTCCCTGGGGGCGACCTGGTGCCCGCGGGCACCGTGTTGGTGACCCCTGCTCTAGAACATGATTCGGGTTCATTCACTCACCCTCATGTCATGAAGTCCTTCACATCTGATCTAATCTGACACACTCGGTTCAGGTGATGATGATCATGGTGATGATGAGTCTCTCCTAATGAGCTGATCAACTCAATCAGGTGTCGTTTGATTATGTATTTAAGAGATTGCACTCGTTTCCTCACACATCAGTTGTCCCACAATCCTTCAGCAGTGCTGTGTGTCTAAAACAGAACATCTGAAAATAAAAGGTTCTAGACTGAGGAACCAGATCTCTGTCCCTGGTTACGGGTGAATTCAGCCCTGGAAACACCAGATATCTGTCCCTGGTTACGGGGGAATTCAGCCCTGGAAACACCAGATATCTGTCCCTGGTTACGGGGGAGTTCAGCCCTGGAAACACCAGATATCTGTCCCTGGTTACGGGGGAGTTCAGCCCTGGAAACACCACATATCTGTGCCTGGTTACGGGGGAATTCAGCCCTGGAAACACCAGATATCTGTCCCTGGTTACGGGCGAATTCAGCCCTGAAAACACCAGATATCTGTCCCTGGTTACGGGGGAATTCAGCCCTGGAAACATCAGATATCTGTCCCTGGTTACGGGGGAATTCAGCCCTGGAAACATCAGATATCTGTCCCTGGTTACGGGGGAGTTCAGCCCTGGAAACACCAGATATCTGTCCCTGGTTACGGGGGAATTCAGCCCTGGAAACACCAGATATCTGTCCCTGGTTACGGGGGAAACACCAGATATCTGTCCCTGGTTACGGGGGAATTCAGCCCTGGAAACACCAGATATCTGTCCCTGGTTACGGGGGAGTTCAGCCCTGGAAACACCAGATATCTGTCCCTGGTTACAGGCAAATTCAGCCCTGGAAACACCAGATATCTGTCCCTGGTTACGGGGGAGTTCAGCCCTGGAAACACCAGATTCCTGTCCCTGGTTACGGGGGAGATCAGCCCTGGAAACGAGTTTCAGATGCAGGGAAAACAGATGATCACAGATTCTGCTCTGCGTTTAGAAAAGACCACGAGCAAAAACATGTTCATGTGCTCAACCTTTAACCTTATCACACAGCTGTATAGAGTTAGATATAACTATATAAACTATATTATCTATATAGAGTGACATATATAATTATACAAACTATTATCTATATAGAGTTGATAAACTATATTATCTATATATAGAGTTGGATATATAACTATACAAACTATTATCTATATAGAGTTGGATATATAACTATATTATTATATATAGAGTTGGATATATAACTATATTATTATATATAGAGTTGGATATATAACTATATAAACTATATTATCTATATAGAGTTGATAAACTAAATTATCTATATATAGAGTTGGATGTATAACTATACAAACTATTATCTATATAGAGTTGGATATATAACTATATTATCTATATATAGAGTTGGATATATAACTATATAAACTATATTATCTAAATATAGAGTTGGATATATAACTATATAAAATATATTATCTATATATAGAGTTGGATAAATAACTATTATCTATATAGAGTTGGATATATAACTATATAAAATATATTATCTATATATAGAGTTGGATAAATAACTATATTATATATAGAGAGTTGGATATATAACTATATAAACTATATTATCTAAATATAGAGTTAGATATATAACTATATAAAATCTATTATCTATATATAGAGTTGGATATATAACTATATAAACTATATATAGAGAGAGTTGGATACATAACTATATAAACTATATTATCTATAGAGTTGGATAAATAACTATATTATATAGAGAGAGTTGGATATATAACTATATTATATATATTATCTATATATAGAGTTGGATATATAACTATATAAAATCTATTATCTATATATAGAGTTGGATATATAACTATATTATATATATAGAGTTGGATATATAACTATATAAACTATATATAGAAAGAGTTGGATATAACTATATAAACTATAATATAAATATAACTATAAACTTATCTATATAGAGTGATATATAACTATATAAAATATATTATCTATATATAGAGTTGGATATATAACTATATAAAATATATCTAAATATAGAACTGGATATATAACTATAAAATCTATTATCTATACAGTATATAGAGTTGGATATATAACTATATAAACTATATATAGAGAGAGTTGGATATATAACTATATAAACTAAAATATAAATATAACTATATAAACGATATTATCTATATAGAGTTGGATATATAACTATATAAAATATATTATCTATATATAGAGTTGGATATATAACTATATTATATATATAGAGTTGGATATATAACTATATAAACTATATATAGAGAGAGTTGGATATATAACTATATACACTCACCGGCCACTTTATTAGGTACCCCATGCTAGTAACGGGTTGGACCCCCTTTTGCCTTCAGAACTGCCTCAATTCTTCATGGCATAGATTCAACAAGGTGCTGGAAGCATTCCTCAGGGAGTTTGGTCCATATTGACATGATGGCATCACACAGTTGCCGCAGATTTGTCGGCTGCACATCCATGATGCGAATCTCCCGTTCCACCACATCCCAAAGATGCTCTATTGGGTTGAGATCTGGTGACTGTGGAGGCCATTTTAGTACAGTGAACTCATTGTCATGTTCAAGAAACCAATTTGAAATGATTAGAGCTTTGTGACATGGTGGAAGTAGCCATCAGAGGATGGGTACATGGTGGCCATAAAGGGATGGACATGGTCAGAAACAATGCTCAGGTAGGCCGTGGCATTTAAACGATGCCCAATTGGCACTAAGGGGCCTAAAGTGTGCCAGGAAAACATCCCCCACACCATTACACCACCACCACCAGCCTGCACAGTGGTAACAAGGCATGATGGTTCCATGTTCTCATTCTGTTTACGCCAAATTCTGACTCTAACATCTGAATGTCTCAACAGAAATCGAGACTCATCAGACCAGGCAACATTTTTCCAGTCTTCAACTGTTCAATTTTGGTGAGCTCTTGCAAATTGTAGCCTCTTTTTCCTATTTGTAGTGGAGATGAGTGGTACCCGGTGGAGTCTTCTGCTGTTGTAGCCCATCCGCCTCAAGGTTGTGCGTGTTGTGGCTTCACAAATGCTTTGCTGCATACCTCGGTTGTAACGAGTGGTTATTTCAGTCACTGTTGCCCTTCTATCAGCTCGAACCAGTCTGGCCATTCTCCTCTGACCTCTGGCATCAACAAGGCATTTCCGCCCACAGAACTGCCGCTCACTGGATGTTTTTTCTTTTTCGGACCATTCTCTGTAAACCCTAGAGATGGTTGTGCGTGAAAATCCTAGTAGATTAGCAGTTTCTGAAATACTCAGACCAGCCCTTCTGGCACCAACAATCATGCCACGTTCAAAGTCACTCAAATCAACTTTCTTCCCCATACTGATGCTCGGTTTGAACTGCAGGAGATTGTCTTGACCATGTCTACATGCCTAAATGCACTGAGTTGCCGCCATGTGATTGGCTGCTTAGAAATTAAGTGTTAACGAGCAGTTGGACAGGTGTACCTAATAAAGTGGCCGGTGAGTGTAAACTATAATATAAATATAACTATGTAAACGATATTATCTATATAGAGTGATATATAACTATATAAACTATCTATATGGAGTTGGATATATAACTTTATAGAGTTGGATATATAACTATAAACTTATCTATATAGAGTTGCATATATAACTATATAAACTATCTATATATAGTTGGATATATAACTATATAAACTAATATAAATATAACTGTATAAACTATTATCTATATAGAGTGATATATAACTATAAACTATTATCTATATAGAGTTGGATATATAACTATATAAACTTATCTATATGGAGTTGGATATATAACTATATAGAGTTGGATATATAACTATATAAACTATAATATAAATATAACTATCAACTATATTATCTATATAGAGTGATATAGAACTAAACTATTATCTATATAGAGTTGGATATATAACTATAAACTATTATCTATATGGAGTTGGATATTTAACTATATAAACTATTATCTATGTAGAGTTGCATACATAACTATATAAACTATATTATTTATATATATATATACATAGAGTTGGTTATATAACTATATATAACAATTATCACAGAGCTGTTTATATAAATTTGGATATAACTTTATAAACTATATTATCTATATAGGGTTGGATATATAACTTTATAAAGAAGTAATAAAGAAGCTGTACACAGATGTAACTGATTATCTGTTCCTGTCGTGTGTTTCAGCTTTGATCGACTCGGAGAGGCTGATGATGTACTTCCTGTCCATGGAGGGCGAGAAGCCATCGCTCCACCCCGCTTTCCTCTTCAACGACTCCGACAGGAACGATTCTTCAACGCCGACGCCGGTCATGTGCCGTCTGGACTCGTCCTCGTTCCAGACCAACGGCTCGCTGACCTCATACGACCTGACCTATGACCTGACCCCGACAGAGGTCACGCTCCTCGGCCTCGTGTTCAGCGTCTTCTGGCTCGTGTCGGTTCTGGGAAACTCGCTAGTGTGTCTGGTGATCCATCGCAGCCGCAGAACTCAGTCCACGACCAACTACTTTGTGGTGTCGATGGCGTGCGCGGACCTGCTGCTTAGCCTAGCCTGCGCGCCGCTAGTTCTGCTCCAGGTGTCGGCGGGTCACTGGCCCCTGACCGCGGCCGCGTGTCGAACCGTACGCTACCTTCAGCACCTGTGCCCCGGCGTCCAGGTGTACGTGCTCCTGTCCATCTGCGTCGACCGCTTCTACACCATCGTGTACCCGCTAAGCTTTAAAGTGTCACGCGAGAAGGCTAAGCGCATGATTTTAGCGTCATGGCTGTTCGATGCCGCCTTCGTGTCGCCGTGTTTGTTCTTCTACGGATCCACAACTACTCGGAACCACTGCGACTTCTTCCTAGCGGATAGCTGGGACGGGTTAGCGTACGCAGTCGCGCACCTGCTCTTCGGATTCCTGGTGCCGGCGCTGCTAATCGTGTCCTTCTACCAGCGGGTGGTGCGCTACATCTGGAGGATCGGCGCCGACGGGCGAACGGTGCGCAGGACCATGAACATCGTCCCCAGGACTAAAGTCAAAACCATTAAGATGTTCCTAATGCTAAACGGGATGTTTCTGCTAAGCTGGACGCCGTTTTACGTGGCGCAGTTGTGGCACCCGTCGGGCTCCGGCAGACAGGGGGCGCTGTTCTTCATCGCCGTGGCCTGGATCTCCTTCAGCTCCACCGCGTCCAAACCCACGCTCTACTCCGTGTACAACGCTAACTTCCGGCGCGGCATGAGAGAGACCTTCTGCATGTCGTCTATGAAGTGCTACCGCAGTAACGCCTACACCATCACCGCTAGCTCGCGGATCGCGAAAAAGAACTACGTCGGCGTGGTGGATCTGCCGGTGCCGGCAAAGACACTCGTCAAAGACTCGGTTTACGACACTTTCGACCGAGAAGCAAAGGAGAAGAAATTAGCATGGCCCATTAGCGCTAACCCACCCAACACTTTTGTGTAAAGGCTCTCTTTTGTCGTAACGCAACAGTTCACGCAGAAATGAACATTAATTCGTTATAAAGCCTGTGGAACGACATCCTAGCGAACACAACTATATTCTGAGAACATTTGTGAACGTTGAGAGAAAATTAACATTGAATCATTCTTCACACATTATGGAACGTTACTTTTGAATCTGAACGTTCTGAAACAAGAAGCAACATTTAAAAAACGTCCAACTAAACTGTTTCTGGTAAAAACTTTCCATGATTGATGTTTTTGTTCTAACGTTTTGAGAACACGATTAAAGCGCAGATAACTTTGAACGAACGTTCTATTAATGTTTTGAGAACGTTTGTTCATAACGTTGAGAGAACCTTGGCAGAACGTTTCCCGTTCGCTGGGATGAGGCCAGTTCTGAGTGAACTGTTGATTTAACTGCACCTCGATCATGAAACGCGCGATCATTAGCGATATTGTCTCTGATGTATGAAGCGCCGCTCACACACTTCCTGTTGGACTCGCGATCACTGACTCCTCCTGGAATAACTGGATTACGCGGCAGGATGTGTCCGAGCTGCGGGACATGTGACCGAGCTACCCCTGCTGAGATGCTAACCCGCGGTGCTACTGCTAACTGTGACGTCACGCCTCCATGTGTTCTTCTGTCGGTGTCTCCGGTCCGTCTGTGATCCTGCAGGATTCATGGGAATCTTCGGAGATGCGTTTTGTGTTTTGTGCCTGTAGTTGCAGATAAACTTTGTCTCATAGGTGTGTGTGTGTAGTGTCATGATGCAAGACAGACGTGTCACGTGTCCCTGTGACTTTACAATTAAACGTCCTGTGAGATTCAGATGAGACCCGCTGTGTGACTGATTACTGACGCTGTGCTTACAGATCCACACGCTAACTCATCTCACAGCGTATCCCACAAACTGAAGATCATCCGGTCACAAACACTGGTGGAAATCAGGTCAAATTAATGAATAAAAATGAGATTACACTGATTAAATAAAACAATTTAATTAATACTAAATTCAAGAATTATACTATAAAGCAAAATAAAATATATTTTACTTGAAAAAAAAAAAAAAAATTTGAATACATACAAAATTGCTTACATAATAAATGTAAGTATTTAAATTAATTTAAATTTTATTAAAATAAAATACATTTGAGATTTTTTTTAAATAAATAAAAAAGTGCACTTAAAAATACATCAATAAAAATGGGATTAAACTAAGTCTCTAAATAAACACATAAATTGGATAAAATAAAATAATTTAAAATAAATGACTAAAATATAAATGTATCTAAATAAACAAAATCTGATAAAACTAAATAAAACTCGTTTTAAATAAAAAATAGCAGTGTAAAGATTAAACAAAGTAACTAAATAGTACATTAATGAATTAAAATAAATAAAATTTAATTTAAATTATTACGTTTGATAAAAACAGATCAAATCTAACTAATGATGTAATATAATAGAAACTTACGCATTTATAATATTAATTTTCCACAGTATTAATTGGGTGTTTATGCATGAGAATATCTTTGAGCTGTGTGGCTCCGTCACACACACACAAACACACACACTCTTACAGTCTGAAACACAAGAACTCTATAATGATGAGAGAGACGAAATTCAGATCCACTCTTTATATTGTACAGATATTCATAATCACAAAGCAAAGCTACTTTGTTTAATTATAAGACATGCTTTTATCCTGCAACAAATTACAACCTACATTTCAAACACGTCATATAAAAATATACATTTGAGCTCTAAACGATACAGATGTAGCCACGGGACGCGGCTCGTTCGGCGGGTCGACTCCGATGAGTTCACACTCATCACGCGTTTCAGGATCATAACTCTATACTCTCCGGATCGGCTGCGGTTCGGGATTTAACTCTATATTCTCCGGGATCATAACTCTATACTCTCCGGATCGGCTGCGGTTCGGGATTTAACTCTATATTCTCCGGGATCATAACTCTATACTCTCCGGATCGGCTGCGGTTCGGGATTTAACTCTATATTCTCGGGGATCATAACTCTATACTCTCCGGATCGGCTGCGGTTCGGGATTTAACTCTATATTCTCTGGGATCATAACTCTATACTCTCCGGATCGGCTGCGGTTCGGGATTTAACTCTATATTCTCCGGGATCATAACTCTATACTCTCTGGATCGGCTGCGGTTCGGGATTTAACTCTATATTCTCCGGGATCATAACTCTATACTCTCCGGATCGGCTGCGGTTCGGGATTTAACTCTATATTCTCCGGGATCATAACTCTATATTCTCCGGATCGGCTGCGGTTCGGGATCATCATAACTCTATATTCTCCGGATCGGCTGCGGTTCGGGATCATAACTCTATATTCTCCGGATCGGCTGCGGTTCGGGATTTAACTCTATATCCTCCGGATCGGCTGCGGTTCGGGATCATAACTATATTCTCCGTATCGGCTGCGGTTCGGGATTTAACTCTATATTCTCCGTATCGGCTGCGGTTCGGGATTTAACTCTATATTCTCCGGATCGGCTGCGGTTCGGGATCATAACTCTATATTCTCCGGATCGGCTGCGGTTCGGGATTTAACTCTATATCCTCCGGATCGGCTGCGGTTCGGAATCATAACTCTATATTCTCCCGTATCGGCTGCGGTTCGGGATTTAACTCTATATTCTCCGGATCGGCTGCGGTTCGGGATCATAACTATATTCTCCGGATTGGCAGCGGTTCGGGATCATAACTCTATATTCTCCGGATCGGCTGCGGTTGGGGATCATAACTATATTCTCCGGATCGGCTGCGGTTCGGGATCATAACTCTATAGTCTCCCGGATCGGCTGCGGTTCGGGATTTAACTCTATATTCTCCGGATCGGCTGCGATTCGGGATCATAACTCTATACTCTCCGGATCGGCTGCGGTTCGGGATTTAACTCTATATTCTCCGGATCGGCTGCGGTTCGGGATTTAACTCTATATTCTCCGGATCGGCTGCGGTTCGGGATTTAACTCTATATTCTCCGGATCGGCTGCGGTTCGGGATCATAACTCTATATTCTCCCGGATCGGCTGCGGTTCGGGATTTAACTCTATATTCTCCGGATCGGCTGCGGTTCGGGATCATAACTCTATATTCTCCCGGATCGGCTGCGGTTCGGGATTTAACTCTATATTCTCCGGATCGGCTGCGGTTCGGGATCATAACTCTATATTCTCCCGGATCGGCTGCGGTTCGGGATTTAACTCTATATTCTCCGGATCGGCTGCGGTTCGGGATTTAACTCTATACTCTCCGGATCGGCTGCGGTTCGGGATCAGACCGGCCGAATCGAGTGAAAAGACCAAAACTTAAAAGTACAAAAATTAGAGCTTTTAAGGAAAGTGCTTTAAGGTTCAGTTAGTGATATAAATATATAATCAACAACAAACTAAAATCTGTGTGTACAAGAAGAGCGGGGAAGTGCTACGCGTTGGTATCATTCAAATGGTTGTAAAGTGCAAAAAGATTTTGGCAACAGTCCGTCTTACAATGTCTAATATTTAACGTCGTAAAGGATTAAACAGATTATAACGCATCACATTCATCATCAAAAAGGTTCCAAAATAAATAAGTAAAAGGAAGAGGAAATGTTAAAGTCACACACAGAGCCTGAGCCACATCGAGGCCGGATCGAACCATCCTAGTGTGAACGGGAGATTACTGGGAGTTTGTACTGGGAATGAAGCTTATTAAAGACTGAGACGTCCGGTTATGAAGAGGCGTCTCATGAACACTGTGTGTGTGTGTGTGTGTGTGTGTGTGTGTGTGTGTGTGTGTGTGTGTGTGTGTGTGTGTGTGTGTGTGTGTGTGTGTGTGGCGTACAGGATCTCGGGCCGCTCCTAACACGTCTTGTTCGCGGTGGAGCCGAACTTGCCGTTCTTGGGGATCTTGTTGCTGGAGCTCTGCGGCGCTTTCTGCTCGTCTCCCGTTAGCAGAGCCTTAATCTCCGACGGGATCTTGCCCTGATCCATGGCCAGACACCACTGCTTATACTGGGAGACAACAGACACACAGTCAAACACCACTGCTTATACTGGGAGACAACAGACACACAGTCAAATCACGGCCAGACACCACCGCTTATACTGGGAGACAACAGACACACAGTCAAACACCACTGCTTATACTGGGAGACAACAGACACACAGTCAAATCACGGCCAGACACCACCGCTTATACTGGGAGACAACAGACACACAGTCAAACACCACTGCTTATACTGGGAGACAACAGACACACAGTCAAATCACGGCCAGACACCACCGCTTATACTGGGAGACAACAGACACACAGTCAAACACCACTGCTTATACTGGGAGACAACAGACACACAGTCAAATCACGGCCAGACACCACTGCTTATACTGGGAGACAACAGACACACAGTCAAACACCACTGCTTATACTGGGAGACAACAGACACACAGTCAAATCACGGCCAGACACCACCGCTTATACTGGGAGACAACAGACACACAGTCAAACACCACTGCTTATACTGGGAGACAACAGACACACAGTCAAATCACGGCCAGACACCACTGCTTATACTGGGAGACAACAGACACACAGTCAAACACCACTGCTTATACTGGGAGACAACAGACACACAGTCAAATCACGGCCAGACACCACTGCTTATACTGGGAGACAACAGACACACAGTCAAACACCACTGCTTATACTGGGAGACAACAGACACACAGTCAAATCACGGCCAGACACCACCGCTTATACTGGGAGACAACAGACACACAGTCAAACACCACTGCTTATACTGGGAGACAACAGACACACAGTCAAACACCACTGCTTATACTGGGAGACAACAGACACACAGTCAAACACCACCGCTTATACTGGGAGACAACAGACACACAGTCAAACACCACTGCTTATACTGGGAGACAACAGACACACAGTCAGATCATGGCCAGACACCACTGCTTATACTGGGAGACAACAGACACACAGTCAAACACCACTGCTTATACTGGGAGACAACAGACACACAGTCAAACACCACTGCTTATACTGGGAGACAACAGACACACAGTCAGATCACAGCCAAACACCACTGCTTATACTGGGAGACAACAGACACACAGCCAAACACCACTGCTTATACTGGGAGACAACAGACACACAGTCAAACACCACTGCTTATACTGGGAGACAACAGACACACAGTCAAATCACGGCCAGACACCACCGCTTATACTGGGAGACAACAGACACACAGTCAAACACCACTGCTTATACTGGGAGACAACAGACACACAGTCAAATCACGGCCAGACACCACTGCTTATACTGGGAGACAACAGACACACAGTCAAACACCACTGCTTATACTGGGAGACAACAGACACACAGTCAAATCACGGCCAGACACCACTGCTTATACTGGGAGACAACAGACACACAGTCAAACACCACTGCTTATACTGGGAGACAACAGACACACAGTCAAATCACGGCCAGACACCACCGCTTATACTGGGAGACAACAGACACACAGTCAAACACCACTGCTTATACTGGGAGACAACAGACACACAGTCAAACACCACTGCTTATACTGGGAGACAACAGACACACAGTCAAACACCACCGCTTATACTGGGAGACAACAGACACACAGTCAAACACCACTGCTTATACTGGGAGACAACAGACACACAGTCAGATCATGGCCAGACACCACTGCTTATACTGGGAGACAACAGACACACAGTCAAACACCACTGCTTATACTGGGAGACAACAGACACACAGTCAAACACCACTGCTTATACTGGGAGACAACAGACACACAGTCAGATCACAGCCAAACACCACTGCTTATACTGGGAGACAACAGACACACAGCCAAACACCACTGCTTATACTGGGAGACAACAGACACACAGTCAAACACCACTGCTTATACTGGGAGACAACAGACACACAGTCAAACACCACTGCTTATACTGGGAGACAACAGACACACAGTCAGATCACAGCCAAACATCACTGCTTATACTGGGAGACAACAGACACACAGCCAAACACCACTGCTTATACTGGGAGACAACAGACACACAGTCAAACACCACTGCTTATACTGGGAGACAACAGACACACAGTCAAACACCACTGCTTATACTGGGAGACAACAGACACACAGTCAAACACCACTGCTTATACTGGGAGACAACAGACACACAGTCAGATCACAGCCAAACACCACTGCTTATACTGGGAGACAACAGACACACAGCCAAACACCACTGCTTATACTGGGAGACAACAGACACACAGTCAAACACCACTGCTTATACTGGGAGACAACAGACACACAGTCAAACACCACTGCTTATACTGGGAGACAACAGACACACAGTCAGATCACAGCCAAACATCACTGCTTATACTGGGAGACAACAGACACACAGCCAAACACCACTGCTTATACTGGGAGACAACAGACACACAGTCAAACACCACTGCTTATACTGGGAGACAACAGACACACAGTCAAACACCACTGCTTATACTGGGAGACAACAGACACACAGTCAAACACCACTGCTTATACTGGGAGACAACAGACACACAGTCAAACACCACTGCTTATACTGGGAGACAACAGACACACAGTCAAACACCACCGCTTATACTGGGAGACAACAGACACACAGTCAAACACCACTGCTTATACTGGGAGACAACAGACACACAGTCAAACACCACTGCTTATACTGGGAGACGACACTGCTTATACTGGGAGACAACAGACACACAGTCAGATCATGGCCAGACACCACTGCTTATACTGGGAGACAACAGACACACAGTCAAATCACGGCCAGACACCACCGCTTATACTGGGAGACAACAGACACACAGTCAAACACCACTGCTTATACTGGGAGACAACAGACACACAGTCAAATCACGGCCAGACACCACCGCTTATACTGGGAGACAACAGACACACAGTCAAACACCACTGCTTATACTGGGAGACAACGGACACACAGTCAAACACCACTGCTTATACTGGGAGACAACAGACACACAGTCAAACACCACCGCTTATACTGGGAGACAACAGACACACAGTCAAACACCACTGCTTATACTGGGAGACAACAGACACACAGTCAGATCATGGCCAGACACCACTGCTTATACTGGGAGACAACAGACACACAGTCAAACACCACTGCTTATACTGGGAGACAACAGACACACAGTCAAACACCACTGCTTATACTGGGAGACAACAGACACACAGTCAAACACCACTGCTTATACTGGGAGACAACAGACACACAGTCAGATCACAGCCAAACACCACTGCTTATACTGGGAGACAACAGACACACAGTCAAACACCACTGCTTATACTGGGAGACAACAGACACACAGCCAAACACCACTGCTTATACTGGGAGACAACAGACACACAGTCAAACACCACTGCTTATACTGGGAGACAACAGACACACAGTCAAACACCACTGCTTATACTGGGAGACAACAGACACACAGTCAAACACCACTGCTTATACTGGGAGACAACAGACACACAGTCGAACACCACTGCTTATACTGGGAGACAACAGACACACAGTCAAACACCACCGCTTATACTGGGAGACAACAGACACACAGTCAAACACCACTGCTTATACTGGGAGACAACAGACACACAGTCAAACACCACTGCTTATACTGGGAGACAACAGACACACAGTCAAACACCACTGCTTATACTGGGAGACAACAGACACACAGTCAAACACCACCGCTTATACTGGGAGACAACAGACACACAGTCAAACACCACTGCTTATACTGGGAGACAACAGACACACAGTCAAACACCACTGCTTATACTGGGAGACGACACTGCTTATACTGGGAGACAACAGACACACAGTCAGATCATGGCCAGACACCACTGCTTATACTGGGAGACAACAGACACACAGTCAAACACCACTGCTTATACTGGGAGACCACAGTCAAACACCACTGCTTATACTGGGAGACAACAGACACACAGTCAGACACCACTGCTTATACTGGGAGACAACAGACACACAGTCAGACACCACTGCTTATACTGGGAGACGACAGACACACAGTCAAACACCACTGCTTATACTGGGAGACAACAGACACACAGTCAGATCACAGCCAAACACCACTGCTTATACTGGGAGACAACAGACACACAGTCAGATCACAGCCAAACACCACTGCTTATACTGGGAGACAACAGACACACAGTCAGATCACAGCCAAACACCACTGCTTATACTGGGAGACAACAGACACACAGTCAGATCACAACCAGACACCACCGCTTATACTGGGAGACAACAGACACACAGTCAAACACCACTGCTTATACTGGGAGACAACAGACACACAGTCAGACACCACTGCTTATACTGGGAGACGACAGACACACAGTCAAACACCACTGCTTATACTGGGAGACAACAGACACACAGTCAGATCACAGCCAAACACCACTGCTTATACTGGGAGACAACAGACACACAGTCAGATCACAGCCAAACACCACTGCTTATACTGGGAGACAACAGACACACAGTCAGATCACAGCCAAACACCACTGCTTATACTGGGAGACAACAGACACACAGTCAGATCACAACCAGACACCACCGCTTATACTGGGAGACAACAGACACACAGTCAAACACCACTGCTTATACTGGGAGACAACAGACACTAGGGCTGCAACGATTAGTCGACGTTGTCGACAACGTCGACAATAAAAATTTGTCGACAAATATCTTTGTTGTCGAGTAGTCGTTTGATCTCACGTGACCTAATGTAAGGGCCTGCAATCCCGCGATTTGAACGCTACGGCGCTGTAGCGCTAGAGTGTAGTGCAGCCCTTACAAATGCTATTGCGGTAGAAGAGAAAACAGCACGAATTATGACAGTGCAAACGAATCCGAACTAG